TGGTAGATTGTAAAAATTATGAAAAATTCTTTTCATCCTGCATTTGTGCCTTGTGATGGGATTTTGCAGGTCTTTCTATCAAGAGGTGGAGCCTGATTCTTAACCCCTTGAATCTGGAGTGGCCATATCATGATTATTGGCACATAGAATATTAGCATCATGATGGAAGCAGAAACTTAAAAGTTTTTGTACAATGAGGTTTTCCCACTATTTATGCTCTTTGGATCACTGCCACCACCACCATGTGTCAAAGCTATGGCCAGCCTGCTGTATGTGACTGGCGCAGTCACATACTACCAATCACCAGCAGCAGGGTCATCTTCTAACTGACCGGCAGGTAACTGAACTTAAATGAGTGAGGTTGGTTGAAACCAACAGAAGAACCACCCAGCTGAGGCCAAATGGATAGCCCACAGAATCATGAACTAAATAAATAGTTGTTTCAAGCCAATAGGCTTTAGGGTGGTTTATTATAAAGCAATAGGTAACTGACACATAGGGGCAGTGGGAATTAGGTTAAGAGATGATTCATCACTAATTAGAGTTTGTGAATGGAAACACTGGAAATGCAAAATTCTCCATGGATATTTACAGGAGACCACAATGAATCATTATATTGATTGATCATCAAGAGAAATACCTCATCTTAATGCTAACAGAAAGAAATAAAGAAAATTTCTTTTTGAGATCATGAAGAGATCTATATACTAGGCTAAGGATCTGGAAATATATATTTCTAGTTCCAGTGGTTGATAAAACTAGCATATACTCAGGTCAGCTGGAGTTCCTTAAAACACAATTCCAATTCCTACTTCACACTTAATGAATTTGAATTTTGGGATACAAAGAACTATAGACACATACTATAGAATGGCAACCTAAAAAACATGTAAGAAATGTTATTCACTATGAATAAATTTATAATGAAACATTTTAGATTTCAACTTTTTCTTCTTAAAGTTACATGAACCAAAACATTTCACCACTCTTCTTTCCAAACAGCAGAAGGAAAGGTGGGTTTTTGGCATGAGAACTTCTATGAACTTCTCTGAGATCAATCTTTCTAAGTAAAACTCTATTCTTGGGAAAGTAGAATCCTAATTCAAGAAAACTGACTCACAAAGTATCTTTTGCAATAGAAACATTATATCAACTACGTGTGTGCATGCGCACATGTGTGTAATTCCTAGATATTAGAAATATACATTAGAAACGAAGAATATTGCCTTGGTTCTTAGATCTAGATATTATGTATTGTTTTAGCTTGAGTAAATAATTTATTTGATCTTCATCTTGATTTCCACAACTGTAAAATGAGTGTTGAATTAGGGTCTCTGAGGTACTTTTGCTTCAACAAGACTATTATTTATTATATAGCTTCCTATTTTTAATTTTATATCATCTAACATATACTAACCATTTAATTTAACAGTGCCACTATTCTCACATGAGTATTTCTTGTTTGCCTATGCAATTATATGCACATAAGAAGACTAATTCATTAAGTCTCAATCTTCTTTGTGGTTGTAAGCAGTGAATGGCCCAGGTATCAGTTTATCCCATCTAGTCAATATAAGCCTCTTCCCAATCAATATTATGTGGTCACCTGTCAGGAAAATGCAGCCAAGACTGATCACCACATGCATACCTTCAACCTTAATATTGATTTGCCACCTATGATTTATAAAATATATCATGATTTCCAATTAATGTTATTCAGTTATGTTTGATTGCTTTAGTGTTTGAAGAGTTTCGTTATTGATTTGTTTTAATGGCAATCACATTAAGCACCCAATCTATTTTATGCAATTTTTTGGAACACGTGAATAAATTTCTTACATTCAGTTTTTTAAAATCATTTTTATAATGGAACAAATGACTACAAAATAATTTTTCTTCACATATAACATTTTGATTCTTGTATTGCTTTGTATTATTGAAAAAGGTAAAAGTTAAATTATCCTGAGGGAATAAAATTATGATATAATACCAAGAAATTGTGGTTGACTTTTTAAATGATGTGGTTACTAAAAGTGATAATAGATTAGCCATGCGCAGAGGCAGAAAAGGAATCCAGTTGCTGGGTGTTATTAGAAGGGTCCAGAAAAAGCCATCAGGAATAAAAGAATCACAGTACAGAATAAAAGAAAAACAGTCTAATTTACAACCTGGAATTATCTTTATTAATGTAATCTTTTGTTTAAAGCATTTTCTCAGTAAACAAAATTAAAATGCATCTACCTAACCTATAACATTAACTAATGTATCTTATTACCTAATTCACACCTATTCTTTTAATAGCATTTTTTAAATTAAATTTCTTAGCTGAAAATTCAGTATGATTTAATAGTTATCAAAATGGAGCAAATAAACTCTATGCATAAATGGCAAAGCACAGAATTTTATATTAGGGGAAAAATTTGGACTGGGAGAGTTAGGCCTATTAAGAAGCCAAAGTTGAGCGAGGGGAGCCGCCGCCATGTCCGCGCATCTGCAGTGGATGGTCGTGCGGAACTGCTCGAGCTTCCTGATCCAGAGGAATAAGCAGACGTACCGCACCGAGCCCAGTAACCTGAAGGCCCGCAACTCCTTCCGCTACAACGGGCTGATTCACCGCAAGACGGTGGGCGTGGAGCCGGCAGCCGATGGCAAAGGTGTCGTGGTGGTCATGAAGCGGAGATCCGGCCAGCGGAAGCCTGCCACCTCCTACGTGCCGACCACCATCAACAAAAACGCCCGGGCCACCCTCAGCAGCATCCGGCACATGATCCGCAAGAACAAGTACCGCCCGGATCTGCGCATGGCTGCCATCCGCAGGGCCAGCGCCATCCTGCGCAGCCAGAAGCCTGTTATGGTAAAGAGGAAGCGCACGCGCCACACCAAGAGCTCCTGAGCCCCCTTCCCCTCACCTAGCAATAAAGAGTCAGCTGACTTATTCTCAGCCAAAAAAAAAAAAGCCAAAGTTAAAATTTGTGCAACCAGGGGCAGCAAAATTTGCATGGAAATATCCTTTGTATGAATGTGGATAACTGTAAGAGTTGTCAAAGCTCACCCTGGATTCTCGTGATGATGTACCTCTTATTGCCATGCCTAGACCCCATTCGGGATATGACTCAGAACCTCAAAGATACAGCCATAGCATCTGTGTTTTTGAGAAGCTTCACAGAAGATTCAGATATTCACAAGAGTTTGAGAGCTAGTAATTTGAACAAATTATCAAAAACCAAAGGAAAATGATCTGTGAAAAGCAAGACCCTGAGACTAAGTAAAAATTAAGCTCTTCATTAACATAGTTCCTTAGCATGATCCTTAGAGAAGTAACTGCAAGAGTAAAAATTATAAGACCACAGAAATAGGATGTTAACTATGAATGTAAATGAATAATCAGAGTGTAACCAGGAGCAGGGCCTTAGTCTGTTTGGGGCTGCTATAACAAAAATACCTAAGAGTAGGTAATTTATAAAGACCAGAAATTTATTTTCTTACAGTTTTGAAGGCTGGGAAGTCCAAGATCAAGGTGCTGGCAGGTTGAGCTGTCTGGTGAGGGCTGCTTTCTACTTCCAAGAGGGAATGTTGTTGCTGCATGTTCCAGAGGGAAGTAATGCTGTGTTGTCAACTGACAGAAAGGAAAAGGGTAAGTAAGCAGAATAACACACAGCACCTTCTTTCATAAGGGCCTCAATCCCATCCAGGAGGGAGGAACCCTCATTGCCTAATCACTTCTTAAAGGCCCAGCTTCTTAATACCATCAAAATGTCCATTAAGTTTCTACGTTTGAATTTTGAAAGGACACATTCAAACCATAGCAGTCAGGTAAGACATATGAAAGAAAATAAGTATTGTTAAGAAGTAAATATGACTTAATAAAAAATAAGAATAAAAAGAGGAAAGTCTGTTTAGTTAGAGGTAATATATATGTATGCATATGTATGATATATGTGTGTGTATGTATAGATATGTGTGTGTATATGTCTTCACAAATAGGGTAGCATTCTCTAAGTATTTAAGGGGATTTTCAGGTTCCAGTTTTTTTTTCATAGTTTGAAAAAAATTGTCCTTAATATGATTGGGGAAATTATAATATGTGTAAAATAAAAATGTAATTTAATAACATAGTCCAAGTTCATCACTTCTTTGCCACTTTTTTGCTCATTTTTGTTGTTGGTCTATTATACATTTTACTATCTATACAATGGAAATTCACCTAACACTACTTTTATCTTTGTATTATAAAATTGATATCATTCAGGTGGCAATTTTGATGTAGTTGCTAAAAATTTTCTGTTGATCTTTTCTAGTAAGATCAAGAAAGGACAAGAATCAAAGAGTCTCGGATTTGAATACAATAAATATTTTACAAAAGTAAAAAGAGAAGAAAATAACTAAG